GGTATAGGTAAAATCACAAACATAAAAATTTCAAAATACGATATCTCAGCGAAAAAAAGAGATATTTAAGCAAACTCAACGGCATTTGAAAGAGCAAGGCTTATACTTTAAAATGATGTTTATAGTTTTTTCAGAGAGTCGACCTGATTTTGTCGGCCTGTGTAATTTATCAATCCAAGTTTTTATCATTGTTTTGAATAAACAAGTTCTGATACGATTATAAGAACACATAAACATTCTCATTGAACAAATAAGCAGTTCCTATAAAAAATTTAGTTATAGTTGTTTTTTTACAAAAAAAGATTGCTAAAATTTTATATTCAAGAAGTTATAATAAACATTTAAGTGCCTATTTAAACTGTACTTGATTTAAGAATAAGCAATAATAAAAAGAAATTCGATAACTGTAAATTGAAGAAAAACAGATTTCTTTTATATCTCGAACAAAAAAAAGTTATCAATAGATACGTTAATCACTTGATAATGACAAAAAACTGCTACTTATAATATTAATGAAAGCGAATCTAAAAATTTTGAAATTATGTGTTTTCAAGTCATATCACACATATTTATAAAGTCTAACAATATCGCTTGAAAAAGGGATGGAAATAGAGGGGCTAAAATTTTAAACGTAAAAAATATTCGCAAATAGAGGGAATTGAAATGTATAAATATACTTGCACGTATAACAGAGAAATGTTCATTCGGTAAATATCTATATTATGAGATGTAGGTATTTTCAAAATATCTAGATTTGTTTTGTATAATCAAAATTTGTGACTTTTACAAATTAATATTTATATTACTGCCTAACATATAATATTGTAACATAATATAACAATTTAATAAACATTAACGAGAAATAGTTTACTATATTATATCAACCATTCCTTTTCTTTAATTAAATATAAAGAGATATTTTTTTCAGGTGATTTTCATGTACAATGGCATTTATAACGGCTTACTGGGGCCTGGACGGCATAATAATTCTGATGACTTTTATTATAACTGTCCATCTTTACATGACACATAAATTCAATTACTGGAAAAAGCGAAACGTTTTGCATGCGCTACCGATATCAATTTTGGGCAATTTTAAGGATAGCCTATTACTAAAGAGATCTCCTGGCTATCTTCTGAAAGATTTTTATGATCAAGGGAAAGGAATGCCTTATATTGGTTTCTACATATTAGACAAACCATCCTTGTTGATTCGCGATCGGGAACTTATTACAAATGTTTTAATAAAAGACTTCGATTACTTCATTGATCGATACTCCACACCTAACATGACTGATCGTCTGGCTTATTCCAGTCTCTTCTTTATCAAAAATCCAGCCTGGAAGATCTTAAGAACGAAGTTGTCACCAACCTTCACCTCCAGCAAACTGAAAAAAATGTTCGAGCTGATGTTAGTTTGCGGTGACAATCTAGATACGTATCTCGAATCGTTAAAATTGGAAGGTAAGTGCTGAAAGTTACCAATTGTCAAAACGCATATAAAAGTCATACTATGATTAAATAATTGAAACAACAATATAAATATTAAGTCAACATATTGATGGCAGATAAAGACATTGAACTGAACATAAAAGACTTATCTTCCAAATTCTTTATGGACATAGTTGGTACTACTGCGTATGGACTTAATGTGAACTCGTTAAATAATCCAGATAACGAGTTTCCAAAATATGGCAAACAAATTTTTAAAATCAGCATTTTACACGCTTACGAGTTTCTCGTGATATTGTTTTTACCAAATTTAGTTCATTTTATCAATGCAAAAATATTTGATAAGCAAGTTACTGCCTTCTTACGTAATGTGTTTTGGCAAACAATCACTCAGCGCATAAAGTCTGGTAAGAAGAGAAATGATCTCATAGATATTCTTATTGAATTAAAAGGTACTTACAGAGATCAGGATAGTAGGAGTTCAATTGGATCAGGAGGTGAAAGAGAATTTAATAAGTAAATAATTTTTTAAGCTAGAGAGGAGTATATAATTAACTTGCATTAAAAAATCAGAAATCTCATTCAATTTGCCTAAGTAATAGTTCCAGTAGCTAAAATTAATTATAGTAAGAATTAAGAAATGGAAATTTTAGAAAAAATACGAATTAAAATTTTAGCACTTGATGGGGACGATCTACTAGCACAGGCAGCTGTTTTCTTTGTAGCTAGTTATGAAACCTCTTCAACAACAATGGCTTTTACTTTATATGAACTCGCGAGACATCCAGAAGTACAAAACAGGCTTAGAAAAGAAATTCTTAATGCGCTCGATGGAACCGATGGCAAAATTACGTACAACATGGTATGCAAACCATGCGTTACTTTTTTATTATAAAAAAATCTCATACTGCATAAAAGAGAAATGACTTTTGCATTTCTACCGAGCTAGTTTAAAGTATTTATCTTATTTGCATGCCAACAGGTTATGTCGCTACCATATCTCGACATGGTAGTATCTGAAATTTTGAGAATGTACCCGCCGTTACCATTTTTAAATCGTGTAACGAAGGAAACTTACAAGGTACCTAATTCCGATTTAGTTCTCGAGAAGGGTACACCAATTTTTATTTCGTTACTTGGTGTGCACTACGATCCAGAATACTATCCTACTCCAGATAAATTTGATCCGGAACGATTCACCGAGGAGAACAAACGTAATAGACCAACACGTGTCTATCTTCCGTTTGGAGACGGACCACGTATATGTATAGGTAAGATCGGTTGTGACAGAAATCAAAATTTGACGGAATTGTATAATACATGTATAAAATCAAGAATGAATCAGCTAAAGCAAATTTACATTGTTTGCCTTGTTATATAAATCATAAATTTTATCTGTATATGTAAATACGTTTATTAGAATGATGTAGATTGTAGACACTATCCAATTGAATTTTCGAATTAATATAAAATTTACTTATTTCAATTATAATATTTTGCAAAGGCAATATTACATAAATTTTTCTATTATTTATTGAGGCAATGCCATTAACTTTTGTCTTATTTATTAGAATAATTTGTAAAACGTCTCATAGTATATATACTGTTATGTATTCCATAGGTTCTCGTATGGGACTTTTACAATCAAAACTGGGAATTATTGTAATTTTGAGGAAATACGAGGTAGTACCATGCAAAAAAACCCTAATACCAATGGTTATCGAACCAGCTAGTTCCGTAACAGCGGCATTGGGTGGTACTATACATCTCAACATCCGCAGAATTAATAACAATGCTAAATTAAAAATTGATAGTATAATAATTTAATAAGACAAACATTAACTAAAAAATACGGGCGACTAAGAACAGTAATAGCGCAGTAATTGATGCTGTTGATCTTTTTTTTTGACAACGATATATTTTACTTCTTACATAACAAATCGATCATTTATTTGTTTAACGAACTTATAAGGTCCTCAAGTGGTGTAATACATCAAGGAGTGCAATATCGATCATTTAGCCGTACAGCTTCTTTGATGGTCACTTTCTTAAAATTGGAAATTAAGAGACTCTCATTACTGAACTCTTCGATTTAATACATCACATTGATATTAACCAAGAACATCATATGTAATTACTTCATTGCTGAAGATGACTCGAATGGAGCTGAAACGTTCGATCGATTTGTCATGTAAGAAGTGAAATATACACACTATTATCAAAAAAAAAAAAAAGATTACTTGCACCAGTTACTGAGGAATTACTGCTCTCAGTCGTTCTTATTTCTTAATTAATGTTTGTCTATTATCTCGAGAACTCAATTTAGATTATTATCGTGTTGTTAATAACTTATAATATATTCAAACTATGCGACGCATATAATTTGTTAGTTTCAAATGATGAGTTTTACTGTGATAAATAAATTTTTGATAAATATAGGGTATTTTAAAAGTTTTTATTCTATTTTAATATATTTTAAACCTTTTGTATCTACAGAGGAGCATAATATTTGGATAAATATTTGATAAATGTATAGAACATTTTAAAAGTTTTATTCTATTTTAATATATTTTAAACCTTTTATATCTACATATATACATTAATAACAGATTAATTATTTCTTATGTATAAATATTATGTAGTAACGGATTTTAATATTAACAAATTAATTAATTAATTTTATCTTTTAATTTGTTTAATTAAAAATCAAGTAAGGCAGTATCGTCGCGACGCCGAGTACATAAAAATATATAACGAGCCGCTTGACCGCTTGACATGTGAACGTTATTGCGTATATGTTTGTGCTGTTGCCAATTCGCGACGCTATCACTAACTTCATCTGGAGTTTCGAGAGACATCAACAAATTTTAGATTTAAATTACTCAAAAAATTCGTATTATAAATAATTTAACTATGAAGACATATTGGTCCTAGAATATTGCGTTTTAAAGCAACCCGCCAAGTTTTTTCTTCACTATAATTCAGTTGACCATTTTAATCATTTTCAATCTATCTTATGTATTTTGCGTTATGAAATACTTGGCTAGCTGTATTTATTTCGTATCCGTTTTTCATTAAAAGGAACGTAATATATACCTTCTTTTATGTACTTGGCGTACATTTTTTCTTTTTTAAAAAAGTTTTTTTAGGAATCGTTTTATTTTCTGTTTTAATAAAAATTTGAATACCAATCATTAAACGAAATTAAATCTTTATGTACTTACTTCTTAAATACATTTGATATCTTTAAGTTTAGAAAATAATATTTACAAATATATAAAATGTAGGGTAGGTAGTCAACAGTGAACCAGTAGTACACTATATAGCCCAGTTTCACGATAATCGAGGTTCAACTTATTCATTATCTCTTTCCAATTCTAAAATTGGAAAAAGATAATGAATAAGTTGAACTTCGGTTAAGAGTTAACCGTAAGTTGTGTGAAACTGGACCTAAATCATTGCGATATTTCGTAAATGCGACATTATCAGATTGTGCTGCTATCGTGCAACGACTCACATTTAAAGTCGGTTTCAGTCGACTGGCAGATCGCACCAAGGATGGCCACGTAATATCACATTTTAAGAATTTTGGGTTGCAAAGTAAGTTTTTTCGTAAGTTTTACGCATTTTTAGTGTTTTTGTTGTTATACTTATCATTTGTTTCATTGTATAATAATTTGTGTGTACATTTGGCTTTATTATTCTGTATAACAAATCAAACTAACCAAAATTCCTTACAAATCAAAGAATTGGGAAGAATAAGGGCACTAGAAGTAGTAGGAGGCGCAGAAGACGTCGCGCAAATAATACACCTATGAAGCATGAAACTTCTTTATTCATTATACGCTTAATTTAATCGTAATTTCGGATTCATTCTGTGCTCAGATACATATTTATGCGAGACATCCTTTTCACAAATAAAGCTTATAAAAAATGAGAGACGTTCTTCCTTGAGCGATGATTTTTTGCCTCTTATACGGCTAGCTACGTGTAATATACAAATCGACATTCCTGATCTCGCCAATAAAAGATTCCGAAAATCAGAATTAGTATTTTTCATTTCACTTCGTTTGTGTTTAATTACTTGGTCGTACGATTTATCATTTTTATCAGTAGACTAGGCCTACTGGGGATACTACTTAAAAAAAAAACGCGTCAACAATAGTATCTCAAGGGTGACGTGAAAAACTATTAAAAATTCATTGGATGTATTCACTTTGAGCGCTTACACATTGCTTCATTCTGTCTTAATTATATAATGAGCGATAAAAAAGATAAAACGAAGTTTATATCATGATTGCCCAAAACGAGTGTATATACGATCATACAGGGTCATCGAAAAGTATCGGATCCCCCTAATATCTTCAGTTAGAATGCATTTTGGAGAAAATGTCCAATAGCAAAATTGTATGGTTTCAAACGAGGAGTAAGATAATGACCTTGATTTTGATCTTGACCATGTCCTTTAAGGTCATTTCAAGGTCAACCTTATTTTTTTAAATGGAACCCCCTACATTTTATTGCATATTTTTATAGCTTATCTCGAGAGCTTTCCAAAACACGATAATAAAACATTTTTTCATTAAGTACTTTTTGAGTTATAAAGGTTTAAAGTTAACAATTTTTTGACACAAAATGTAAAATATCTTGTAAAATATTATTTAGTTTTCAGTAATCATAACCTTAATACTTTTGTGCGCGGAATAATGAGACCAATTAATTGGTTTAAAGAAAATACATTAATCAAAAAGTGTCGGATCCCCCTAATATTTTAGGGGCCGGAATCACACGCCACTTAACAAATTGTTCCACAATTCATTCACACACAAACATTTTCTCTTCCAATTAAAGTAGTGGGTATTTAATTCTCTTTCACACACAAAATAATATATAAAACGTTATCACAAAGTTGCGTTACCTTGTCCATGACGGCCATGATCTATAAAAAAACAACGATAAAAGAGTAACGGAGTCTATTTTGTAATTCGTTACTAAAGAAAACGTAATGACGTTACTTTTTCGTTACTAATAAAAAAATGTGACGGCGTTACCAAATCGTTATCAAAAAAAAGAAACGGAATATATAACGTCGTTACAAGTAACGCGTCACTTCCCAACCCTGATTTATACCTAGGTATCTTTCAAAAGGTACGTGTTACAACATTGCGGGTCATTAAAGTAAAAGTAACGTTTCTTCAATCTGGTTATAAATTGAAACATAACGCATCTTTACTTTCACATAAGTACAAAAAAACATATTTTTATAGGACAGCTGCAAAATGGCACTGATAACGACTTATTGGGGCTTGGATGGCATGATCATTCTTATGACCCTCATAATAACTGCCTACCTTTACATGACACGCAAATTCAAGTATTGGAAGAAACGAGGCATTTTAGAAGTAACACCAATGCCTTTCTTTGGCAATTTTAAGGAGTGTCTATTTCAGAAGAAAGCTCCGGCATATTTCCTAAAGGATATCTACGATAAAATGAAGGATCTACCCTATGTGGGCTTCTACGTGTTGGACAAACCCTTCCTGCTGGTTCGCGATCGAGAACTCGTCAAGAATATTTTAGTGAAAGATTTCAATTACTTCTCTGATCGGTACAATACGGCCGATCCGATCGATCGCATAGGTTATGCAAATCTCTTTTTTATAAGGAATCCAGCCTGGAAAGTAGTAAGAACAAAACTTACGCCATTCTTCACATCTGGCAAAATAAAAAAAATGTTCGATTTGATTTTAATATGTGTGAAGAATTTAGATGAATACCTCGATGCATTAGAATTGGAAGGTGAGTGTTAATTATTCATAAGATACAAAATATTATAGAATATAAAGAATTTAAAGTTCTAATATTACAAGCAGAACAACAAGTCATTATGATATCAAAATAACTCTAAAATGATCATTAAAAGTCATTTTCCAATCATTTTCGATTCATTTCAATGTCATTTTGTCGTTATCGTGACTTGATATTCTGCTTGAGTAAAAATATTATTAATTAACAATCTTGTTTTGAATTTTTAACAAACTTTATAATTTTCCTACAGTATAATTAGCGCGCAAAATATATAGTGGAGTATTTTAATCTAAACCTTAGACGAATATCTCAGAAGCTAAGAGAGATATAAGAAAAAGTTTTGTATGAAAGTCGTATGAAGGTTTTCTTGGGGAGAAAGAAGGTGGAAATAATGGAACATTTTTTATTGCATATTCTTGTAGCACACCTCGAGAGTTTTCCAAAACGCTATAATAAAATATTTTTTCATGAAGTACTTTTCGAGTTATAAGGCTTATAATTCGAACTTATAACACAAAAAATACTTAATGAAAAAATATTTTATTATTATAATGTTTTGGGAAGCTCTCGAGGTGTGCTACAAGAATATGAAACAAAAAATGGGGATTCCATTAAAAAAAATTCATGTTGACCTTGACCTGACCTTGATAGTGCCCCCTATAAAAAAATCTGTTATTTCCACCTTCTTTCCCCCAAGAAAATCTACAACTTTTATATAAAACTTTTTCTTGTATCTCTCTTAGGCTGCGGTCGATTTGGACGCTTTCAGCTCTTTTCAATACTTCTATATTCTTCTTTTACGTCTAATGAATGATAAAGAGAGAATGATGATTATAAGCGCTTAAAGCGCGTGAGCATCCGAATTGACCGTAGCCTTATTTTCTGAGATATTCACCTGGGGCGATAAAATGCCCCAGCCTGTATATAAACTCGGGTATGATAGCCATAGTTTTTTAAAATGCAAAAAACATACATTTATTCTTGTTACTTTTTAACAATATTTGAGATATTACTTTTACATAAATTTAAAGTAACAAATACTATCGAAATTAAAGAGAAAATACTTAACAGAACTTTAATTTTATCAAAATATTACAAAGTATGCATTGGCCATCTTATCTAATTTTTAGAGAAAAGATGGCCATGATAACGGAAAGATAGCCATAGTATTTATAAATAAATAGTGAAAATAAAAGTATTAATTATAGATTTACGTACCTTTATTATGTATGTAATGTTGATTATGGCAGCGTAACTGTAATTTATTCGACATTGTAATAGTTTTTAGCAGACACGTGCAAAACTTTGCAGATAGTCGAAAGAAAAAATATTAGATAATATTTATAATATTGTTATTTTGAACAGTGTACTCATATAAACTACTGTAAATATTGATTATCTTTAAGAATGACTATAAAAATGCACTATTTATCAATTATTGGAGAAATTATGGTCTATGGGCATAATACCCTAGTTTATAATCCGTAAAAATTATCAGGTTTGTGGGTTATCGCGCGCGCGCGCCGTATTTTTATCTATCGCTAATGTCAACGTTTCATGAATTATGGCTTCAGCACACAGAACACGGCAACGCTTGCCGCATGGTAGAAGTTTTTTATCGCACTAGTCTATAATTCTATATTCTTAAGTAGGTCCCACTTTATAAAACTTCTAGAAATGATGTAATACTACTTCCGCCGTGCAAAAGTTGGTTTGAGTTCAACTTTTGTCGCACGATGGAAATTATTGGTCTGTTTTCTGTTCCTGCACTAGACTGCACTAGAAGTCTCTTTCTCGCTTTCGACAAATATCAAACATATACATATTTTACTTTAAGTTGCAAAAATATACATTGATTCGCCACAGAAAACAGACCTTAAGGCCCGTCTACAATACACGGAGTAAGAAGTAAGAGAAAGAAATTGACCAATCACAGTCGAATGTGAGAAGAATAATCGACTGTGATTGGTCAATTTCTTACTCTTACTTCTTACTCCGTGTATTGTAGACGGGCCTTAATATATCTATTACTTCCGAGCAAGCAAGATGTTGATTGGCTGCGTCGCGCCAACTTCCACCGTGCGGCAAGCGTTGCCGCATTCAGTGTGCAGGAGCCATTAAAACGAAACAGAGAATTAAGTGAGAGTGGAGCGGATTCAGCCGGAAGCCGCCATTTTCAGTTCATCGTTGAAGTGAGTAAGAGATACGGTAGTAACGTGATGGAACATAAGGTGCTGCATACTCTAGTAATGTACCGCACTAGTATTGTGTGTATGTCATATATGTATGTACGTACATACACATTTGCAGATGTGCACAATAAATGGCGGAACCAATCAGAGAAGAGAACACTCTTCGCACCATTCTCTCTTGATTTTCTCTGGGGCGAAGATAAAGGCGTAAACGGCAAATTTCACAAAATGTTAATGATATGTTTTACGAAATGTTACTGACATATTCAATGATATTACAAGGTTTGCGGGTATCGCCGTAATTTTATTTATTACTAGCGTAATGCTAAAAATACGGCGATAACCCGCAAACTTTGTAATATCGTTGAAAATAACATCCGTGAAAGCGTGATTTATAAAAGTTTTATCAATTTAAAAAAATAAAACAAGTAGATCAATAAAACTGTGTTTAAAAACAGCTCGCTCAATAATTTCTAAAAATAAATTATTATATTGCATGATCATTAGGAATGTTAAAAATAATTATTAAATAATTAGTGAGAAAAAACTCGAATCATGAAGTCATTATTAATTATTATTGATCTAAGTGTACTATTACGGTATCTAAATCCTAACCGAATTAGCAATCATCATCAAGAGCTTAAAAGTCCTGATTATAGTTCTTAATTTTTCCAAAAAAACTTAAAAATACAAAATCGAATTAAATAGTAAAATAATAAAATAATAGATAAAAAACTTTTACATTGACCACATTCTTGATGTGCGGTATACTCGACAAGAAGTGTACATTGCCTATAAAACGTCAAGAAAGCGCAAAAAAATGTATACACTCGTACATTTCTATTAGAGCACACAGATTAAAAATATAATACAATTTATTAAAATAGCTTATGATCTAGATAATAAATCGTCACTAAATTTGGTGTACTACTTTTAAATGCGATTTAGAATAATCTGTAATTTTTTCATAATTTTCTAATTATTTTGCAAATATGTACAAAACATCCTTTAAGTTTCTCTATAAAACCGTTTTTAAAAAAAGATTTTTCGTTACTGAGTTATTGCAAATTAAATAAAAAGATCATTTTGACAATTATTGCTCCGTCAAAACCATCGCAATTCAAAAAACAGATTCTTAAATTTATTGTATCAGACAGAGCAAAGTTCCAGATTAATTTTATTTTTAACAAAATTGCAGGTGTTTGAATTTTGAATAATGAATCAGGCACGAACTTTTGCAATGATCCAATAGTTTTTAAATAAAAGAATGGGATTAAATTTTCAAATATGTAATGCAAAAATAAAATATACTTTTATAAAAGATATCAACAACAATGAACCGAATTCATATTTACACACGATCATCGAAGACATCCAAGAATTTGAGAGGCAAACAAAAAATTTTCAAGAATCTATATTACAAGCTGATATTTATGGTGAGTTAGAAGAAAATGTCACATTATCAATGAAAGCAGATGACAATAATGAAATAGAATTACAAGCTGATCTTCATGGTGAAGCAAAAGAAAGTATCACCATGCTACCATTAAATACAGATGACAACACAGATGAAATTGAAGCATTATGATCATGAGTTATCGAGGAAAACATCAGTTCTTTAACTGTAGACACATTATTAAGAATTTTACAGAAAAGACTAAATACTTATTCCAGAACTACCAAAAAAAATTCGAGCACGGCTCGAATAGCCTTATTATTCATATCTTTGAATTATAGAAAACTTTATAAGGGCTATCACAATGAGAAATCATACATTAAACTGTTATCAGAAAAAAGTGGAGACCCAATTGAGTCCTATACGGCTGCAACTGAGCAAACCTAAGTATAACTACCTTGGAGAAAATGTGGAATCCAAATTAGGCTCTATACGGGGTGTGACTAGGAAGACCTAAGTTAAACTATCCTAACTAGGCCCTAAATAGGCCCGAGTTTGGCAAACCTTTATTTTGGATGCCTCGTAATGCCCATATGGGGCCTACTTGGGCTACGACTGGGCAAGCCTAAGTACATCTATCTTGGGGAAAATGTGGAATCCAAATTAGGCCCTATACGGGTTGTGGCTAGGAAGTCCTGAGCTAAACTACCCTCAATGTACCGTAAATGGGCTCGAATTTGGCAAACCTTTATTTTGGATACCTCAGTAATGCGAATACGGAGCCTACATGGGCTGCGACTGGGCAAGCCCTAGTACATCTATCTTGGGGAAAATGTGAAATCCAAATTAGGCTCTATACGGGCTGTGACTAGGAAGACCTAAGTTAAACTGTCCTAACTAGGCCCTAAATAGGCTCGAGTTTGGCAACCTTTATTTTGGATGGCTCAGTAATGCCCATATGGGGCCTACTTGGGCTACGACTGGGCAAACCTAAGTACAACTATCTTGGGGAAAATGTGGAATCCAAATAAGGCCATATACGGGCTGTGACTAGGAAGACCTAAGTTAAACTATCCTCACTGTACCGTAAATGGACCGGAGTTTGGCAAACCTTTATTTTGGATACCTCAGTAATGCCCATATGGGGTCTACATGGGCTGCGACTGGGCAAGCCCTAGTACATCTATCTTGGGGAAAATGTGGAATCCAAATTAGGCCCTATACGGGCTGTGACTAGGAAGGCCTAAGTTAAATTATCCTAACTAGGCCCTAAATAGGCCCGAGCTTGGCAACCTTTATTTTGGATGCCTCGGTAATGCCCATATGGGGCCAGTATTAAAGTATGGAATGCTCGGACAGATTTCCACACGGGTTGCAAGCGCTGCTGTGCTATTTGGAAAGATTTACATCTATAGGCAACTAATCATAATCAAATAATCACTTATTTATTAGGAGCACTTATACATCTAGTGTCAAGAGTAATTAAAAATTCATTTTTTAGTATGAATTGTATTCATCTTCACCTTGGATTATGAAATAACACTAATATGATAGCATAACAGTATATAATCAACGAAAATATTTTTATTAGTTAACTTATTAGTCATAAAAAGAGCTTAAACTACATACAAAAAAAACTTTTTTGAAAAAATTTTTCAAAATCCTGAGTTAAAACCTTATTGACGCTTTCTCCTTTATTTATGTAAATTATTTAAATCGTAAGGTCACTAAAACCATTTGTCGAAGAATCGAAGGAAGTATCTAATGTGAAATAAAATTTCATGATCTCTGCAAAAAATAAATTCATTTTTTAATTATATGCAAATGTATGCAACAAAAACTTCCATATTTATTTATGTCGACAAAAACATAAAAATTAGAATAAGATATTCATAGATAAACAAATCAAACTACTACTAGTAATATTATTCTCAGGTAATGGGAAGACGATAGAAGTAAAAGAGTTAACCGCCAAATTTGCTACGGATATAATCGGAAGCACCGCTTACGGACTTGATGTAAATTCGTTCAAAAATCCAAATGCGGAGTTCCGCAAATACGGCAAGATGATATTTAATTATGATACATACCGCAGCTTTGAGATGCTCGCAATATTTTTCCTTCCAACTATAGTCCGTTTGACACGAATAAAGATATTCGGCAAAGAGCCCACTGATTTTATGCGTAAAGTTTTTTGGGAGACACTAACTCAACGTATGAAATCTGGTTTGAAGAGGAACGATCTCATTGATATTCTTCTCGAACTAAAAAATAATAATAATGATCTTAAAGATTTCAGTAAGCGAACTAAAATTATTTATACTTTATACGAACATTTTTTTAAATTATGTCTAATGAACCAGAGATGTGATATATAATGATAAATTAGATTAATTGATACATCTAACTAATAATTCTGATAACGAAAGTTAATTATAGTAATAGGAAACCTTTAAAAATTTACGAATGAAGTAAATTGTAGCATTCGATGGTGATGATCTTTTGGCACAAGCAGCCAGTTTCTTCTCAGCTGGTTTTGATACCTCTTCAACGACTACGACGTTCGCGTTGTATGAACTCGCGATGCAATCTGAAATACAGAACATTCTGCGAAAAGAAATCTTCGAGGCACTTGAGAAATCCAATGGAAAAATTACATACGATATGGTATGCAACTAATAATAAAAATAAAGTCTAAGAGTTTGTCTGTTTGTTATAATTTAAATGAAAAATTATCTTTACATATATAATTTTTTGTTACCAGGTATGGTCATTACCATATCTCGATATGGTGATATCAGAAACATTGAGAATGTACCCGCCATTGGGATATTTAAATCGCATGCCCAATCAGACTTACAAAGTGCCTGAGTTCAATCTCGTAATTGAAAAAGATACACCGGTTTACATTTCGATGCTTGGCCTACATTATGATCCAAAATATTTCCCCAATCCTAATAAATTCGATCCAGAACGATTCAATGAGGAGAACAATCGTAACAGACCACCATGTGTCTACTTCCCATTCGGAGAAGGTCCACATTCATGTATAGGTAAGAAAACTGATTTTAATATCTCCTTTATTAAAATATTATGTGAATTAATGTAAAAATACTTTTTTATTTCTTTGTTAACATAATATTATACGGATCTGTTAAATGTGTATTTCGCAGGCAATCGCTTCGGGCTCCTGCAAACGAAGCTAACACTACTCAAGATCTTGAGCAAATGCGAGGTGACACTGTGCAAAGAAACTTTGGTTCCAGTAGTAATTGATCCAAGAGGAGCCATGACAGTGCCGTTAAACAGTGTTTTGCACCTTAATTTTCGAAAAATTAATACTAATGCTATTTAAAATATTTTACAGAATTTTTTATTTAAAACCATAAACGTACAATATATTCCTTTATACTAAATACGCGCTTTGATAAGAAATTTGTATTACTAAATGTGAAAATTAATAAAAATAAATATGTTGTATCATATATTGTGTTTTTTGCGCACTAAATTATTATTAAAATAATTAACCAAAAACATTAATAATATTAAAACTCTCGAATATTAAACAATATAACAAAACAAAAAATATAATAGGCTAATGAGAGTCAGCGACGATAAACAACGTAAATATTATAGTGAACAATCAATATTCAAAGAATGGATTGATCTCTTCTTTATTTGAACTCTCTTTGGAGTCCTCATCAGCAAGAATGATACAATTCCAATTAGCTCACATGTCCGCAATGTTTAAGTCACTCGTAAATTGACAAACATACAGCTTTGATAATCTGACATTTATAGAAAAAGTCTCATTAGACAGATAAATGAGTAAAATGAATTTGAATGACTTACCATTACGGAGCATGAAAAGAATCGTGAAGCTTTGTTGAACATATTAAATCTTAAATAGTAGGTATTTTATAATTAAATAAGATCACACATTTTTAATTAAACTCACGTCTGAAAGCGATAACGTGTCACACTCTTGACGGTCACTCTCTTAAAATTGGAAATTGAAAGGCTCTCCTTATTGCGCTTTTCAATTTAATTTAATACATCAGATTGATATTAATTAATTAATTCATCTGTTTTTAATTTGTTTAATTAAAAATCAAGTGACGCGGTAACGTCGCGACGCCGAGTGCATAAAAATATATAACGAGCCACTTGATCGCTTGACGTGTGAACGTACCGTTGCCAATTCGCGACGCTATTGCTATCTTCATCTGGAGTTTTGACATCAAATTTTAGATTAAAATTACTCAAAAAATTCGTATTATAAATAATTTAACTATGAAGACATATTGGTCCTAGAATATTGCGTTTTAAATCGACTCGCCAAGTTTTTTCTTCACTATAATTCAGTTGACTTACTTTTTAAGTACACTTTATATTTTTAAGTTTAGAAAACAATAGTTACAAATATATAAAATGTAGGGTAGGTAGTCCAACAGTGAACCAGTAAATTATTGTGTTATTTCGTAAATATGACGTTATCAGATTGTGCTGCTATCGAGCAGCGACTCATATTTAAACCCCTCGGCTCCAGTCGACTGGCAGATCGCGCCTAGGACGGCCATGTATAATGTCACATTTTAAGAATTTTGAGTTGCAAGTAAATTTTTTTCATAAGTTTTACGCATTTTTAGTGTTTTTGTTATACCTACCATTTTTTTCATTGCGCAACAGTTTTGTGTACACGTTTAGCTTTATTATTCTGTATAAAAAATCAAACTAACCAAGATTCCTTATAAATCAAAGAATTGGAAAGAATATTTCCAAAGCTTCTTTATTCGCTAAACGCGCTTACATATTTCGGCTCACTTTTGAGCCTTCCTCGGAGACAACATAAACTAATATATATAAACTGTGAATAAAAATTATCCTGTCATAGTGAATAAAAATTATCCTGTCATGATGAGCTCCCCTGCATCGAGAATTTAAATATCGGAATTAAAACCAAAAAGAGTGAAAGAAAAAAGAAAAAGAAAAGAAATTAGGAAATATCGAAAAATAGTATATGGAGAACTAATTTATCAAACAACTTTAAAATTATAATGAATTATCCAGCAAATGTAAGGATGCTCACCATGCTCACAGAGCACCATACCGCAAACATTACTATAAAAATAATTCAAGAACCGGCTCCTGATAATGTTGGTCAGTCAGTATCAGACATGGTGAGTCACTTTTTGTTTTTTAGCTAGTAATTGTTCAAGATAACAAATGGGTCGGTCAGTGTCGTTCGTACACAGTAATGAGTCTTTCTGGCGTGTTTATCGATTACTTTCCAACTTTCTTTTTCTTGGAATTGATTAATGATTTAATGTTACATTTTTCCGTTTGTTATCTTCTTTTATTATTCTGTAAGCAACTTTTTCTGTTATATTATTTTACCACATTATTTAGGAGATTATCGTGGAAAAGGTGGTCTCTACAATGAATCATTTTGACGTAGTGAACAATGAACCATGGTATATTGTAGACCATATAACTTTTTTTACGATAACCTTCAAAATAATAATTAATTGTAATAATTATTTAGAATATGGCCCCTCCCCTCTAAAATCTTAATAAAAATATACTCGTTTAACGCGTTTTTACTCGAAACGAAAGAAAAACGCGATGATAGGCCTTGTGAATCCTTACCTCCTTATAATTATCTATTTTATAAATAAACATTTTTAAATATAGCAAAATTAAAATAATCCTAACAATTCGCAATATAAAACATGTGGTTCATTGTTAAAAATAGCATGGTTTATTGTGTAACACCCTTTGTACACAATGAACCAATTCCCGTTTTTTAAAATAATCGAAATTGTGACTAAACTTCAAGAATAACTTAAAAGTTATTATTTACAGTATGTAGTCAACTAAATTCATAAACTGTATGCAAAAATTCAGACCTTCAATTTAATAATCGAGAGAAATACGAGCCTTTGTAATTTACATGGTTTATTGTTGGACCACTTACCTCATATGATAATTTTCGTATCATTTCTTTTACAAAAAGTCAAGTTGAAGAAATAAAAAAGTGCTTATATATATATAATTACATGTATACATAAATTATTATACAATATAAAGATGTTTTTATGGAAGCTTATTAATTGTTTATGAGAAACTTTTTTAGTTATTGTTTACAATAAAAATGTCTAGAAATATGCGTTTGCTTTTATTTTTATAATATCATTTTAAAATATCGAAGATTTATCATGTACACTCTGTATAATTTGTTACCTCTAATCTAATCTTTCTTTTATGTATCATTAATTGATTAAGAATAAATTTAAATTTATTTATTCTAGATAAAAAAAGCAATTATCAATCGATTATAAGGTAGTTGATCCACTAATCGTCATGGTATCAGTAATCGCCATGTTCATACACTGAGAAAAAAATGCTGTTTACGGGCTGTCACTAACATAAGTAATTAATTCATGTATATTTTTATTCATATAAAGGCATAAATTATTATTTCAACAATCAAGCCTTTATATTAATAAAATGTACGCATGAATTAATCACTTATGTTAGTGACAGCCCGTAATATAGACTTTAATTGAATCAATAGCATTTTTTTCTCAGTGCATATATGAAGACATACTTTAGTATTTTCTATTGATCGTGCAGTTTGTTGATATTTTTATTGGTTCCAACAAGGTATTTACAATGTTGTGTTACATTATGAAACTCGTGAGTATATGAATTCACTACAGATTAAATCGAATATGTGCAGCAACCGAGTCGATGCGTGATTTTGACCAAATGCTTCATTGTGAGGTTTAGAGACACCATTTGACATCTCGTGTGATTTGGAATATTGGCAACTTGAATGAGGTAAATTGAGCATCAAATTATACTTAAATCAAGATCGCAGTTTTACGTACACCATCACAAATTATTGTTTCGTACAAATTTCATATTTTTTTTTACGTGAAGAGCACCGGTTCATCGAAGCACGTAGTCGTTCGAATAATCGCCACACCTGTCGATTACTGAGACTAGGTGACCCGAAAAAATTCTTGTAAATAAAATAATAATTTTATCCAAAATTCAAATAGAAAAATCAGAACCATAATTGTTATTATCTAGAGATTTTACGGACCAGTAATCGTCATAGGCATAGTCGAGTTAATAAATAGATATGCAAACAAATAAAGAATGTCGATCACTGGATCATTCCTATGTCGATAACTGAGTACGTCAGAGATGGGCACTACTCGAATAAAAACTAATTAAGTATTTACAATTCTTTTCTGTTGAAATAGTTATTAACAGTTATTGAAAATTTATAATAATGATAGTTCTAAACAATAGTCAAAATTATCTTTATTTTTTTGTAAAAATAAATAAATTTTATTCACTTACAGCGGTTATTCGTAATTTGATCCAAAAAGTACTTTAAGTGGATTGCTATTCAAATGCCTATTCTTAGTTTCTAATTTTTAATTATTATACTTTTTTCTAAGAAAGAAAAAAGTATAATAATACTGATGGAATGCCAACAGTATGCATTAGAGGCCATACGTATATTCGACATCTTAATAGTATAATAATACTATCACTCTAATAAGTGATATATACGTGCAATTATAATTTATATGTAGCACAAACATATATAATATAATTATAATTATAATATATGTATAATTACAAAATATTTATATAATTATAATATATATATTAATGTATATATATTCTCTCTCTCTCTCTTGTGTATCTGAATCATTCCATCATTCACGTATGGCGATTAGTGAGACAGCCGTGACGATTATTGGGCAAATCGTTATGACGGCATGGCGATAACTCGTACATTTGTGTTCTAACCTTTACGAAGGATTTTTTCAATAACGGCAGTAAGTATAATTTTAGATTGACAATTATATTCGTAACAAAAAAATGATTTAAAATAACTTAAAATCACAATCATTCACTTTTCAATTTGAACGATATAAATTTGTAAAGTCAAGCGTTTTGGTTAATGTGACGACTAGTGGGCCAACTACCTTATTGAAGAACAAAATTATACTTTTTTTTGTTTTTGGCATGTAGCGTGTCATTTCTCGAAGATGTTTAGCCGCTGAAGTTGAATCCGTGCTTAGAAAAATTCTATATCACATTTTCGAGCAAAATGGTGTAATGTAGGCCAAAAATGACGACTTTAACCATATTTAGAATGGTATTGCAATTAAGGAAATTTTATTTTGCCAATTTTATCTACACTATCTTATGCGTGGTCTACAATGATATGCTACTATCATTACAAGATGAATTATGTGATTTACAGAACGATATTTCGCTTAAAATGGTTAAAGAAACTGGTGCCGATTTTTACAAAATGTTAAAAGAATCATCATATCCCAAGCTTCGTGATTTCGGATTTATTCCGTGTTTGGATCTACATATTTATGCGAGACATTCTTTTCAAAAATGAAGTTTATAAAAAATGAGAGACGTTCTTCTTTGAGCAATGATTATTTGCCTCTTATACGACTAGCTACGTGTAATATACAAATCGACGTTCCTGATCTCGCCAATAAAAGATTCCGAAAATCAGAATAAGTATTTTTCATTTCACTTCGTTTGTGTTTAATTACTTGGTCGTACAATTCATCATTTTTATCAGTAGACTAGGCCTACTGGGGATACCACTTAAAAAAAAACCCGTCAACAATAGTATCTCAAGTGACGTGGAAAACTATTAAAAATTCATTGGATGTATTCACTTTGAGCGCTTACACATTGCTTCATTCTGTCTTAATTATATAATGAGCGATAAAACGAAATTTATATCATGAATGCCCAAAACGAGTGTATATACGATCATATATACGAACGTTATACGCTCCTAAGCGTCGAGTAGCATTTGGACTGCGCGCGGGGCGAGAGATGAGACGAGTAGCGGAAGGAGGAGTCGAGTCGAAAGTCGAGAAATGGATTTCTTGCTAAGCTCAGAGATAAATCATTCATTACTTTAAGAAGGAGGAGTCGAAAGTCGAGTCGAAAGTCGAGAAATGGATTTCTTGCTAAGCTCAGAGATAAATCATTCATTACTTTTAATTTCGATCATAATCACGAGCTTCATTTACATGTAAAGGAAGCTCGTAGTTACATTTCTAATAGTATATACATGATCAAGAGAGAGACGCGATAATGTCTCGCGCCAAGTGAACGCGCAGCGCGACAGCGCGAGGCAGCGTATGCCTAACTTCAAATTCACGTAACTTGGGGTATGTTTGAGTTGCCACTACGAATGCTTTGAAGCATTTGATTAACCAATCGGACGAAAGAATTTTACTAATCGACCAATCAAAAAATGCTTCGAAGCATTCGTAGTGGCAACTCGATCGCATCCTTGTTTGTGTTTAATAAAAAATCGTTCACCACAATTTCATTCCAAACGTGGCTAAAAACATCAATTTTCGCCTACATTATCCCAATTTTCTCCGGAAAATTGTGACGTGATAGACCAATTTTGAGGACAGCATCGTTTTCAGCGTCAAAAAATACTTCGGAAATGATACTTCGCAAGCCAAAAACAAAATCAGTTTTCCACAGTGTTATACAAATCGAATTACTAGATCCATGCAAAAGTTCGTGCTCGATTTATTATTCAAAGTTCAAACAGCTGCAATTTTGTTAAAAATAAATAAAATTTAAAATTGAAAAAAGGGTTTTAAAGCTTGAAATCTCTACTTTCGAATGGTTACTATATTTTTTGAGTTTGTTTGAGTTTTGCATTTTTTACATATACATAGATTCTGAAATATCGTCTCATCAGATAAAGTAAGATTTAGATTTTATTTTATTTTTAACAAAAATAACATCTGTTTGAAGTTTGAATAATAAATCGGGCAAGAATTTTGCACTGATCCAATATTTGCTCGTACCTAGTTCATATCTGCTGTCTACCTGTGGATAGACAATTAAGAATGTATAGGTAAGGGGTTGAAAAATTAATATATAATTACATATATACATGTAACATCCTTTCATAGTTTAATGAAAATAATTGATTACAAAAATGAGTCCTATCCGAAGGACTGTCAGAATAGTGTATCTATTTTGCGGCTAGACAGCGACTAATAGCGTATTTCACTGGCAGAGCTGGTGCGCACTCAGTGCACTTTAAAACTGTTGTACACAAATCGACATAAAAATGTACGTTTAATAAAAGTATAGAAATAAATAAACCACAAAATCCTTAATACATTTTATTGTAATATTTGATAAAATATACATTGGGTACTTTATTAACTGAGATCTCTCACTTTTACAGTCAGGTTAATGTACAACAGCTTTAATGTGCACTGAGTGCGGACCGGTTCTGCCATTGAAATACGTTATAACTTATTCCGCGCGCGGACCGCGAGAACCGCACGACGCTAACGTGGTGGGGTGAGAGTCCTTGACCCAGCCATGATCGGGCGATTTCTCGATAGCCTCGTGATTTCGGGAACTCGCGCATCGGTTACTATTACGACGGAATTTTCTTGTTGCGACAGGCTCTCGTGAGAAACTTCTCCAATGTTCTTTTTAGAATGATCCAAGCAGAATAACAAGCCGTTATATCAGAATGATATCAAAATGATCATTAAAAGTTATTTTTTAGTAATTTCCGATTTATTTTAATGTCACTTTGACGTCATCGTAACTTGTTGTTTTGATTACAAACAAGCAAACGCGCACTGACGGCACGGAATATGCGCTGATGAACGGAAATGTGCCTACAGATGATTATGAAAAATTACATTTTTTGATGAGCAAATGCAGAGATACAGATACATCAAATGTTAAAAACAGAGATTAAAAGTTACGTGTATAATTTATGCTCTACATTACTATAATAATATACATTTATATAATGGAGGCAAACGAAAAGGGGAATAGAAAGGGAAGTTACAATGCATAAATACAGTTGCGTGCATGATACTGAAGTTTATTCGACTTCCGTAATTTGTGAAATTGTCATGCTTGCACTGAAAATTTCGTGTTGTAGTTTTTAAATATTCCGTGTTTTACTCAACAGTGAGAATCAATTTAATTTGTTAATGAAAGCAAATTTTGCTAATAAGTCCTTTTTAACTCTCATGATGATATCTTTCATAATCATACATTGATTAGATCATTTTATATCACATCTTACAACTAATAGATGATTATAATTATTTGTGATTGTGGTGTATATTTACAAATGTATCAAAAAAGTTTTGCAAATGTTGATATAATCGTCATTTTTTAACATAATCAATATATTATCACATAAGTGTTGTGACACACCTAGGTGTACGTATAAGTACAGAACCTATAAAGATACTTTAGCAGTATAAGTGCATTACTTATAGGTCCTAATAGTACCTGTACGTGTATCTGTACCTGTACTTTTTTATAGAGCACTTTTCAAGTTTATGTACAAAGTATTTATACGTCATTATATTATAAACTTAATTTTAAACCCCAGGAGAAATCAAAGGACCTCGCACGTTTCTTATGGATTTTGGTTCTCGATCACATTTTCTCATATTTTGGGAAATTATAATTCCTGGTGTCCTGATTAAAAGTGTCAATGGGCGCGGCCTCCTAAAATTAACAGTTTTCGAGATATATCTGTTCACACTTGGTTAATTTCTATTTCGGATATTGGGCGATATAAACAATCTTAGTCCCACATGATCCTACAGATTTGAAGAAAATACCTAGATGAACCTTTTATAATAACATACGAAATAAGACTGCGCCCATTGACCCTTTTAATCAGGACACCTGGAACTACAATTTCCCAAAATATGAGAAGATTTGACCGAGAATCAAAATCCGTAAGAAACATGCGGGGTCCTTTTCAATACAATGTTTGAAACACTACTGATATTTTTAAAAAAAGTATAACAAATGACAATTCTAAACATTTTATCTAAACATTTTTATAAGTTAAGCATAAGTAGTAGTTTGATGTAAAATAAAATTCGTTTAGACAGTTTGTTTTTTTTCATAAGAAGTACTTAAAAATAATTAAATCTTTCAGATACTTCTATACTGTATCTGTATTTAGATAATTTTTAAAATATATATCTATACTTATAACTAAAGTTGGGATGATATAAAAATGCATATTTTATATTATTAATATGAATATAAAGCTTGCATATCTACACAAATTACGTAAAAGCAAAATGTTAAGGAGGTATTCTACTTTGTAAGGCTAAAAATTACATGATTATTCAGGAATTTTTTTAAAAGAAATGAATTGATATATTACCTTTTGGAACTTTATTTGTACAAAATAGATATTTAAAAATTATTTTTTCATGTCTCAATATGTATCATACAAAAAAAATACGCGGTGATACGCAAGACGTATGAAAAAATTACTTTTTGACGCGTTGATATCATTCCGTTAGTTCTAGTAGCATGAAATCAAAAAATCAAAGAAATTATTAAATTGTAAGAGTTATACTATTACTGGAACTAGAATATAAGAAAAAAATTGAAAATTGTTGAAACGTTTAATGAAACGGTAATGTTTTGAAAAATAATATTTTTTACCTATAAATTTGTTTCTTTTTTTTTATATAATAAGATGGAATAATCGTAAATTAAATTCCATAGGTCCAGTAATAAAAAAACATATCCTAAATGGACAAACATTCAAGTCGATCGGATGCTAGTTCCCGAGATATTATGTCAACACGGTTGAAAAATACTGTATTCGATGTCGATTCCATTATCATTTGACTGGACCTGCGGACCATTAGTAAACAATGGTCATTTAGTAAACAATGAATATCTCAATTATTGTACATTATTTCTGTGAACGGCTTTGGTAATATATTTTTAAGACTATCAACTTTCCGAAAATGCAATTTAAAAAAAATCGATTTTTTTAACCCGACAAAGTAGAATACCCCCTCAAAGCCTACTTTCATTTTGCATATTTTGCATATATGTATCTTTTTGAGCATATTTCTTGTAAAAATAAAAAAAATCGATTTTTTTAACCGGACAAAGTAGAATACCCCCTTAAAGCCTACTTTCATTTTGCATATTTTGCATATATGTATCTTTTTGAGCATATTTCTTGTAAAATTCCATATTTGCTCATATAGTCATTAGTATTTACAATTCTTTGAGAAATTAAATATTTAAGACCTAATTTTTTCTATTCAAATTATGTGATTTTGTGTTAATACTGTTTTATATATTTTTTGTTCAAAGTTAATTAATTTGTTTATTTTATTATATTTTTACAATTATTTCTTTCTGTGGTTTTCATTTAATAAATATATTGCATATTTTTCCGTATATTTACCAAATTTGATGCATATAATATGTGCATGTATTTTTATTTTTACATGCATATAATTCCCAGCCTTACTTATAACTAAATACTTTTCTTACACATTACCTATATCTATACCAGGGTTGGGAAGTTGCTTTTCAAAAGTAATGCGTTACCGTTACCATATTATTTGCGGTATAAAGTAACTCGTTACCGTTACTCGTTACCGATTCTAAAAAATAATGCTTTACCTAACTTAAAAGTAACGACAGAAAATCGTTACTTTTTGTTACTTTTTTTCTAATTATACAGAAGGGTCTACTCACTGATTTTGATGAAATTAAGACGATTCGACGCGCGTTTACACGAAATGAACGAATCTGACAGAAAAATAAGTGTCGCTCTGCCCGGCGAAGTGAGATATTAATAGTTAAAGTTGATGACTATTGAGGTAAGGTTTTGTGAAAAAATGCATCGAATAACTCTAATTTCATCAAAATCGATGAATAAGCCTGTCTTCTGCATAATTACACTTTTTCTTAATGTTAAAACAGGCTTTTTTAAGATAGAATGCTAAAACAGAATATAAAGTAAATATAAGATATTTAGAAAGATATTTATCTTTGAACATTTTTATCTTTTATTAATATTTTACATATTTATGTTTAACTCTACGGTATTTTATTATATAATAGATATTTTAATTTTTAGGGTTCTTATGCTAAAACGAGAATAGTGAATGAAACAAAAATAGGCAAAAAGTTTTTGTTTATTTAGTACCTATAATCTTATTGTCCATGACGGCCATGATCTATAAAAAAATAACGATAAAAGAGTAACGGAGTCAATTTCGTTATTCGTTACTAAAGAAAACGTAATGACGTTACTTTTTCGTTACTAATAAAAAAATGTGACGGCGTTATCAAATCGTTATCAAAAAAAAGAAACGAAAATATAACGTCGTTACAAGTAACGCGTCACTTCCCAACCCTGATTTATACCTAGGTATCTTTCAAAAGGTACGTGTTACAACATTGCGGGTCATTAAAGTAAAAGTAACGTTTCTTCAATCTGGTTATAAATTGAAACATAACGCATCTTTACTTTCACATAAGTACAAAAAAACATATTTTTATAGGACAGCTGCAAAATGGCACTGATAACGACTTATTGGGGCTTGGATGGCATGATCATTCTTATGACCCTCATAATAACTGCCTACCTTTACATGACACGCAAATTCAAGTATTGGAAGAAACGAGGCATTTTAGAAGTAACACCAATGCCTTTCTTTGGCAATTTTAAGGAGTGTCTATTTCAGAAGAAAGCTCCGGCATATTTCCTAAAGGATATCTACGATAAAATGAAGGATCTACCCTATGTGGGCTTCTACGTGTTGGACAAACCCTTCCTGCTGGTTCGCGATCGAGAACTCGTCAAGAATATTTTAGTGAAAGATTTCAATTACTTCTCTGATCGGTACAATACGGCCGATCCGATCGATCGCATAGGTTATGCAAATCTCTTTTTTATAAGGAATCCAGCCTGGAAAGTAGTAAGAACAAAACTTACGCCATTCTTCACATCTGGCAAAATGAAGAAAATGTTCGATTTGATGTTAATATGTGTAAAGAATTTAGATGAATATCTCGATATGCTAGAATTGGAAGGTGAGTGTTAAATAATTCATGAGATACAAAATATTATAGAATATAAAGAATTTAAAGTTCTAATACTACAATGTTGTGATCTTGTGTGTATACAGGGTGTTCAGCGTAACGGTCCGCACGATTTTTTAGACACTTACGACAATTAAAAGAAAAGGTTGTAAGATGATTATCCATCTATTTCATGCGGGCTACAACATGCAATAAAAAAATAAAAAAAATTTTTTTTTAATGAAAAAAGTCAAGGTTATCTTGAATTTTTTAATTAGCACCATACAATTTTTTTCCATAATATTGTAGGGATCTTCAAGACGAATTCAACGCACTATCGAGATTGTAACTTTCATTGACGTTTTATTGGTTTTATTACATAATATTTATCACAAATACTCATTAATAAAGGAATACTTATGTGAACTTATTAACTTATGTGAACAAATTTTATTGATTTCATTGATATTTAACCTTTATAGAGGGCCGGACTGGACATCATAGTGGCCAGCGGAAAACTCGTTGACTCCTCGTGACAGAAAAATCAGCTATTATATTATTTTTATTCAAAATTACTTTTGGAAATCGTGTTATAAGTACATATGGACCAGTCCGATGGCCGGCACATTCTCCGGATTTATCTCCGATGGATTTTTTCTGTCATGAAAAGTCAACGAGTTTTCCGCTGGCCACTATAGTGTCTAGTCCGACCCTCTATAAAGGTTAAATATCAATAAAATCAATAAAATTTGTTCACATAAGTTAATAAGTTCACATAAGTGTTCCTTTATTAATGAATATTTGTGATAAATATTATGTAATAAAACCAATAAAACATCAATGAAAGTTACAATCTCAACAGTGCGTTGAATTCGTCTTGAAGATCCCTACAATATTGTATGATGCTATGTAAAAAATTCAAGATAACCTTGACGCTTTTTATTAAAAATAAATTTTTTACACATTTTTTTATCGCTGTTTTTATGTTGTAGCCCGCATGAAATAGATGGATAATCACCTTACAACCGTTTTTTTTTAATTGTCGGAAGTGTCTAAAAAATCGTGCGGACCGTTACGCTGAACACCCTGTATATATATATATATATATATGTTATATAATATATATATAGCCATATATATATACACACAAAATCACGACATTATAGTTTTATATAAAATAATGAAAATTAATAATTACAAGTATTTTTGATCAAACAGACTTTACCCAAGCAGAACAACAAATCATTATGATATCAAAGTGACTCTAAAATGATCATTAAAAGTCATTTTCCAATCTTTTTAATGTCATTTTGACGTTATCGTGACTTGATATTCTATTTGAATAAAGATAGTATTAACTATAACAATCTTGTTTTGAATTTTTAACAAACTCTATAATTTTCCTACAGTATAATTAGCGCGCAAAATATATAGTGAGGTATTTTAATAGTTATTTAATGAGTTAATTATAAATAATAATTTAATGAGGTAATTATTCGCCCTAGGCGAATATCTCAGAAACTAAGAGAGATACAAGAAAAACTTTGTATGAAAGTTGTAGGTTTTCTTGGGGAGAAAGAAGGTGGAAATAACGAATTTTTTTATAAAGGTCTGATCAAGGTCAACATGAATTTTTTAAATGGAACCTCCCATTTTTTTATTGCATATTCTTGTAGCACACCTCAAGAGCTTTCCAAAATACTACAATAAAATATTTTTCATGAAGTACTTTTCGAGTTATAAGGCTTAAAAGTTATAATTTGAACTTTATAACTCAAAAAGTATTTCATGAAAAAATATTTTATTATGGTGTTTTGGAAAGCCCTCGAAGTGTGCTACAAGAATATGTAATAAAAAATAGGGGTTCCATTAACAAAATTCATGTTGACCTTGACTTGACCTTGATGGTAGTGCCCCCTATAAAAAATCTGTTATTTCCACCTTCTTTCCCCCAAGAAAATCTACAACTTTTATATAAAACTTTTTCTTGTATCTCTCTTAGGCTGCGGTCGATTTGGACGCTTTCAGCGCTTTTCAATGCTTCTATTCTTATTTTACGTCTAATGAACGATAAAGCCAGAATGATGATTACAAGAGCTTAAAGCGCGTGAGCGTCTAAATCGACCGCAGCCTTAGTTTCTGAGATGTTCATCTGGGGCGATTAAAATGCCCCACTCTGCGTATAACCTATATAACTTGTAAAAATTAATAGAAGGCTTGCGGGTTATCGCCGTATTTTTATCTATTGCTAATGCCAACGTTTCATAAATTATGACATCAGCACACAGAACGCGGCAACGCTTGCCGCGTTGCAGAAGTTGTCGCACTATAGCTTATAATTCTATATTCTTAAGTCGGTCCCCCACTTTACAAAACTTCTAGAAATTATATAATACTACATCCGCTGTGCAAAAGTTGGATTGAGTTCAACTTTTGTCGCACGATGGAAATTATTGATCTGTTTTCTGTTCCTGCACTAGACTGCACTAGAAGTCTCTTTCTCGCTTTCGAAAAATATCGAACATATACCTATTTCACTTTAAGCTCCAAAAATATACACTGATTCAGCCACAGAAAAGAGACCTTATATATCTATTACTTCCGAGCAAGTGAGATTGGTTGCGTCGCGCCAATTTCTACCGTGCGGCAAGTTTTGCCGCATTCCGTGTGCAGGAGCTATTAGAGCGAAACAGAGAGAATCAAGAGAGAGTGGAACGGATTCAGCCGGAAACCGCCATTTTCATCATTGAAGGGAGTAAAAGATATGATAGGAGCGTGATGGAACATAGGGTGCTGCCCACACTAGTATTGCACCACACTAGTATTGTGTGTATGGCATATATGTATGTACGCATGCACATTTGTGGAAGTGCACAATAAATGACGGTACCAATCAAAGAGGAGAACACTTTCCACTCGATTTTCTCTTGATTTTCTTTGGAGCGAAGATGAAGTAAACGGCAAGTTTCACGAAATGTTAGCGTTTCGCTAGCAATAGATAAAAACACGGCGATAACCCGAAAACCTTGTAATATCTTTGAAGATAATATCAGTGAAAGCGTACTTCATAAGAGTTTTATCAATTTAAAAAAATAAAACTAGTAGGTCAATGAATTAGCATTTCGCTAGCAATAAATAAAAACGCGGCGATAACCCAAACCTTGTAATATCTTTGAAGATAATATCCGTGAAAGTGTATAATTCATAAAAGTTTTGTCAATTTAAAAAAATAAAACAAGTAGATCAACGAAACTGTGTTATACTGCTCGCTTAATAATTTCAAAAAATAATTTTTTATATTGTATAATCATTAGAAATGTTAAAAATAATAATTATTAGATGATTAGTGAGAAAAAATTCGAACCACGAAATCATTATTAATTATTCCCTAGTAGCACAAATTATTGGCGCAATATTGGGAAACGAATGTACAGCCAATAATGTAAAACATTGGATAACTAATATTGGTCCAATATTAATTATTATTGATCTAACAAATAAACCTATGAAGGTGTCAGTCAATGATTTTAAAGAAACTTTACATATTTGTAGAACTTAGAAAAATATTTGAGACGTATTTTTGTTTATCTGCAATGGTCCACTCTGAAGGGTGAAAACTGTCTCTTAAAGGTAAGGAATAGATTTAACATATTAGGTGAAATAAGTTGAAAATTTTAAAAAGTAAAATGGATTAAAAGGTTTTTGGGGCCGCCATTTTGAATTTTATATCTTTAACACCATATTTAAAATCGTTCGACCCAAAAATCAGAAATTTTAATTCTGTGATGACAAAAATTCTTAAAATTTACTCATTTTGATAAAAATTAATAAAAATGTTAACGTACCCCTGGACGCCATATTAGGTCAGCCATTTTGAATTTCATACTTTTGACACAAGATTCAATGTCAGCAATCCCAAAAACCTCCTAACACATTTTACTTTTTAAAATTTTCAACTTATTTCACCTAATATGTTAAATTTATCCCTTACCTTTAAGCGGTAGTTTTCATCCTTCAGAGTGGACCATTGCAGATAAAAAAAAATACGTCTCAAATATTTTTCAAAGTTCTACAAATATGCAAAGTTATCATTAAAATCGGTGAGTGACACCTCCGTAGGTTTACTTGTAAGTGTACTATTACGGTACCTAAACCCTAACCGTCGAATTCTAAGCAATCATCATCAAGAGCTTAAAAGTTCCGATTATAGTTCTTAATATTTCCAAACAAACTTAAAAATACAAAATCAAATTAAATAGCGAAATAATAAAATAAAAGATATTAAAACTTTTACATTGATCACAATCTTGATGTGGTACGCGACAAGAAGTGTACATTGCCTACAAAACGAAAGCGCCAAAAAAAAGTATATATAAGCGCTATGCAAGCGTTACTGTGCTATTTGCAAAGACTTACGTCTATAGGCAACTAATCATAATCAAATAATCACTTATTTATTAGGAGCACTTATACATCTAGAATCTAGAGTAATCAAAAATTCAATTTTTAGTATGTATTGTATTCATCTTCACATTGGATTATGACGTAACTCTAATATGATAGCATAACAGTATATAGTATAACCAGCGAAAATATTTTTATTAGATCACTTATTAGTCATAAGAAGGACATAGATTACATACAAAAAAAACATTTTTGAAAAAATTTTTCAAAATACTGAGCCAAAACCTTATTGACGCTTTCTCCTTTATTTACGCATATTATTTAAATCGTAAGGTCACTAAAACTATTTGTCGAAAAATCGAAAGAAGTATTTAATGTGAAAACAAAATTTCATGATCTCTGCAAAAAATAAATTCATTTTTTGATTATATGCAAATGTACGCAACAAAAACTTTTATATTTATTTATGTCAATAAAAACATAAAAATTAGAATAAGATATTCATAGATAAATAAATCAAACTAATAATATTAATGTCAGGTAATGGAAAGACGATAGAAGTAAGAGAGTTAACCGCCAAATTTGCTACGGATATAATCGGAAGCACCGCTTACGGACTTGACGTGAATTCGTTCAAAGATCCAAACGCAGAGTTCCGCAAATACGGCAAGATGATATTTCAATATGATACATATCGCAGCTTTGAAATGCTCGCAATATTTTTCCTTCCAACTATAGTCCGTTTGACACGAATAAAGATGTTCGGCAAAGAGCCCACTGATTTTATGCGTAAAGTTTTTTGGGAGACACTAACTCAGCGTATAAAATCTGGTTTGAAGAGGAACGATCTCATCGATATTCTTCTCGAATTAAAAAATAATAATAATAATGATGAGGATCTTAAAGATTTCAGTAAGCAAATTAAAATTAACTATTTATACTTTATACGAACATTTTTTTTAATTATGTCTAATGAACCAGAGATGTGATATATAATGATAAATTAGATTAATTGATACGTCTAACTAATAATTCTGATAACGAAAGTTAATTATAACAACTGGAAACCTTTAAAAATTTACAAATGATGTAAATTGTAGCATTCGATGGTGATGATCTCTTGGCACAAGCAGCCAGTTTCTTCTCAGCTGGTTTTGAAACCTCTTCAACGACTACGACATTCGCGTTGTATGAACTCGCGATGCAACCTGAAATACAGAACACTTTGCGAAAAGAAATCTTCGAGGCACTTGAGAAATCCAATGGAAAAATTACATACGATATGGTATGCAGCTAATAATAAAAATCAAGTCTAAGAGTTTTGTCTATTTGTTATAATTTAAATGAAAAATTATCTTTACATATAATTTTTTATTACCAGGTATGGTCATTACCATATCTCGATATGGTGATGTCAGAAACATTGAGAATGTACCCGCCATTGGGATATCTAAATCGCATGCCTAATCAGACTTACAAAGTGCCTAAGTTCAATCTCGTAATTGAAAAAGGTACACCGGTTTACATTTCGATGCTTGGCCTACATTATGATCCAGAATATTTCCCCAATCCCAATAAATTCGATCCAGAACGATTCAATGAGGAGAACAAACGTAACAGACCACCATGTGTCTATTTCCCATTCGGAGAAGGTCCACATGCATGTATAGGTAAGAAAACTGATTTTAATACCTTCTCTATTAAAATATTAATGTAGATTTATTCATTTCTTTGTTAACATAATATTATACGGTGCTGTTAAATGTGTATTTCATAGGCAATCGCTTTGGGCTCTTGCAAACGAAGCTAACACTACTTAAGGTCTTGAGCAAATGCGAGGTGACACTGTGCAAAGAAACTTTGGTACCAGTAGTAATTGATCCAAGAGGAGCCATGACAGTGCCGTTAAACGGTGTATTGCACCTCAATTTTCGAAAAATTAGTGCTAATGCTATTTAAAATATTTTACAAAATTTTTTATTTTAAACCATAAATGTACAATATATTCCTTTATACTAAATACGCGCTTTGATATAAGAAACTTGTATTACTAAATGTAAAAATTAATAAAAATAAATATGTTGTATCATATATTGTGTTTTTTGCGAACTAAATTATTATTAAAACACTAAACCAAAAACAATAATAATATTAGGACTCTCAAATATTAAACAATATAACAAACAAAAAATATAGTAGGCTAATGAGAGTCAGCGACGATAAACAGCGCAAATATTATAATGAACAATCAATACTCAAAGAATAGATTGATGCCTTCTTTATTTGAACGTTTCGACTCTCTTTGGAGTCCTCATCAGCAAGAATGATACAATTCCAATTAGCTCATATGTCCGCAATGTTTAAGTCACTCGCAAATTGACAAAAATGCAGCTTTGATAATCTGACATTTATAGAAAAAGTCTCATTAGACAGATAAATGAGTGAAATGAATTTGAATGACTTATCATCACGGAACATGAAAAGAATTGTGAAGCTTTGTTGAACATATTAAATCGTAAATAGTAGGTATATTACAATTAAAGAGGATCACACATTTTTAAACCCATGTCCGAGAGCGACAACGTGTCACACAGATATGAACTAAACTCAATGTAAGAGGTCAACAGTAGAAACATATCTGTGTGACACGTTGTCGCTCTCGGACGTGGGTTTAAAAATGTGTGATCTTATTTAATTGTAATATACTCACTATTTAAGATAATAAAAACAATCTAAATGCGAGCTAATGAGAGTCAGCGCGAACGAAGGTGCGCAATTAATATTCCACAAATAAATTTGTTAATTCATACGATGTGTTGATATTATCTTTATTTGAAATCTTGAAATCTTGAACGTTTCGATTCTCTTTGGAATCTTCATCAGCAAATTTCTTAAATCAAACTAGATTTCGCGAACGTCCGATGTAGAGTCACTCGCACTATTTAAGATTTAATATATTCAACAAAGCTTCACGATTCTTTTCATGTTGCATGATGGTAAGTCATTAAAATTCATTTTACTCATTTATCTGTCTAATGAAACTTTTTCTATAAATGTCAGATTATCAACGCCGCATTTTTGTCAATTCGCGAGTGACTTAAACATTGCGGACATATGAGCTAATTGGAATTGCATCATTTTTACTGATGAGGACTCCAAAGAGAGTCGAAATAAGAGAGTTCAAATAAAGAAAACATCAATCCATTCTTTGAGTATTGATTGTTCACTATAATATTTGAGTTGTTTATCGTCGCTGACTCTCATTAGCTTACTATATTTTTTGTTTGTTATATTGTAAAATAATAAAACGACGATAGTACGATAGTTTAAAAGAAACTTGTTGTCTCTTTGTTGTATCATAAATCTATAACTAACATTCAAGAAGTTTTAGCCGTAGGTCGGACACCTTAATGCTAATGACGGCGATATTGTAGCTTTCAAGCCTTATAACTTGAAAAGTACGTAATAAAAAATAACTTTATTACACACACAGTTTTGAAAAGCTCTTGACACCAGCTCTTAGATTCTGCCATAAAAAATAGGACATTCTATTTAAAAAATATTAGGTTGACCTGATTTGACCTTAACCTGACCTTGGCCACTCAAAATCAAATGGATGTGATCAGTGAAAAAAACTTTTTAAACCCTATAACTTTTGTCGGAAATATTTTTCTCAAAAATGCTTTGCTTTCGAGATATATGACCATTTTCAGACCTTTGATACACCCTGTATGTTTTAATTAAACATTCAAAATATCTTTGATTTGTTATCAAAATTTCGATTTGTTATCAGAATCTTAGAAGACCGCCAATATAAGTGCATTGAATTAATGTCACTATTTATACATAAAAAAATATTAATACAATTTAATAATACTTGTTTCTCTAATATTTATTAAATGTGTTTTCAAAGTCTAATAGTTTTGCAACAAATTCAACACACATATTTTTACTTAGAAACAAACTGGTACTGAAAATAATTAAATATAAAAATTAATTAATTTTAAAAGATTTCGAGACCAAAATCCGAAATTAAAGTATTGAATATATATTACATAGATATAATAGCTGTGGACCTATCTGTAGCTGCGAATTTCTATAAAGTCTCTTATGTCCAATTCACTTCCAGATATGTTGCGGATAATCTTATTCGGGAGATATCTTTTGGATAAAGATCTAAATCTAGAGATCAAGAAATTGGGCAGTAAAAAGAGTGAAGTAGCCATAGATTTCATAATTAGACTGCTCACTCTGTCACTTTGTTGTGAAGCAATGGACTGTTTTTTTATATTCACACTCATACATATATGTATATAAATCATTAAAGTTGCGTTGTCATCAGAACCATATATACTTAGAGATAATACACAATTATGCATAATATATGCTTGAGTGGATATAAACAAGGATTTCTTGGCACTACTTTTATCTCTTCCTAATAATTGAAATGAGCAGTCCATAGTTATAAAAGTCTGCATAGAAAAAAAATTTTACTTATTTCAAGAAAAAATTATTTGATTCAAGAAAATAATTTTCTCAAATAGTCCCTAGCAAGCATTTAAAATTAATTTATGAAACAATTTTCTCGTTACTAGTAAAGATTTTTGATAACCAAGAAATTGCTTTTTGAAATAAAAATTATATTTTATAAAAAGTAATCAATGAGATTTTTGGTAACCAAGAAATTGCTTTTTGAAATAAAAATTATATTTTATAAAAAATAATCAATGTATGATTTCTAATACTCATGTCATAGATTTAAAAAAACTGTTCTCTTATTAACAACAATTAGATTCAAGTAATGACATTATTAGATTTAATAAAAGAATTTTCTACTGACAAGTAATTGTGTTTTTATTAGAATAAAATATTTTCTTCATATTAATAAATTATTTGCTTGCAGGATATAATATTTTATTGGAACAAAAAAACAAATTTATTGTGGCAAGTAATTAATTCTTTCAATCAATAAATTACAGTTCAAGGAAATGTGTTTACTTGAAACAAATAAATATTTTCTTCCGTATGTGAAAGAGAGTAGCTTGATTTTTTTCTCTTTTTCTCTTTCTGAAATATCAAATTGAAAAGAGATCCGATTCAATTGTTGTTGCATCCTCTTTCCAATGGAGTACAGATGCTAAGATCAGGAAATACACAATCTGCACCTATTACGTACATGCAGTAGTACAATTATCTTTTTATACATTCTTAACCATGTCTAATTGAACTTTATTATAATTTTATAAACACTTTTAAATTAATTAATAATTAAAGTATTAAATACTCTTGAAACTATAATTTCAAACTTTGTTACGTAAACTAGTTATGTAAGTCTGATTTATACACATCTTATTATTATTTAATAATGATAAGATGTCTAGAAATCAGATTTACTAAAAAAAGACGGCAAATTGCAAAAGAGCACTAGTCGTTATCATAATTTAATCAAATGACGTAAATAAGACGCAAATAATTTAACATAAATGTAAAGCATTTTTCTAGATATTCTTTGAATGGTATATGAACATACTAAATAGAATTCTGCAGAACATAAAGTTATAAAATATACTGCGAATGTAAACAAAACTTTATGCATGCGTTAATGAAAGTTTTTGAAAATGTATAGACTCGAATAATCATTCTAGTAAAAAAAATATATATATAATCAAGTGTAAATATGTACAAGATATCCCATTTTAACATTCGTATCGAGAAATATTGTATCTCGAAAAATATAAAAAATACGACAAAAGTTGTATGATCTGAAAGGAAGCAAATAACGATAAAATCAATTTTGGAAAAAATTGATTTTTCAAGTTAACATGAAGGTCATGGTCATTTTATTTAAATAGTGCATCCCTATTTATAACGACGAGTATCGTGTATGCTAAAAGATTCGAAACTGTTCTTTTTACAGGAAAAGACTAGTAGTATCGTAAGAAACGATTTATAAAAATAATATTTTTGTAAATAAGTATAGAGGAAAGTCACCGATACTGACATAGGTCTCCTAGAGCGATACCCCTTTATTCCTTAGAAACTCACTATTGCACTTTATTGATACTAATAAAATCATAATCTATTTAGCTAATTAAAGAAATACAAACTCATAATTCGTATATTTGTAGGTTGTTTCTATATCAAATCAGCTAAAAACGAATTCTACAAATGCGAAAATAAAATTCTTACGATTTTCTTTTGTAAATTGCGTAGGTTAAGTAATAGTGTTAATATATTATTGATGACTTTATTATTGGTAATATTACGTCGTTTTAAATATAGATTAAGTAATAGTGTTAATATATTATTGATGACTTTATTATTGGTAATATTACGTCGTTTTAAATGCTTGTAGTTTCCTATCAGTTTTATTTATATTATTTTCTTAGTTTTTTCATAATACTATTTTAAATTTAAAATTGGAGTGCAGCGTAAATCGCCACACTGTAAAACAGACCATGAACTAACTTAAACCTTATAATAGAGGAAGGTCACCGATACCGACATACCACTTTGTTTTTAGACAATATTTCTTAAACAAAAAATAAAAATACAACTTCAAAAACATAAATACAAAGTAAAAAGTGTCTTCTATCAGATAGTATAAGCAATTTTTATAATACTGTTTGCAATTTTGCAACAATTAAATTTTTCGTAAGTTATGCAAAAATGAGCGTCTGACAAAATGGGCTCCAAAACTGACACGGTAGGCAGTAATGCTACGTATTCCTATTCTTTTTCTTTTACAGGAATTATCTATATAAAGTACTTATAAGTGAATGTATATAAGATATATACGATATGTATATAAGATAATTTTTCAGAATCATTTTACTTCGTTATAAAACATTTTTATTGAATTATATGCATATTTACTTTATGCTGTTCTGCAAGATGCAAATATGTAACGCGATAGTTTTTCTAGAGTTGTTCCATATATGCACGATTGCCTTCAGCTCTAATAGACTTATTTGACACTATAAAGCAACATTGTAAAGATTAAGTTAGCTCATGGTCTGTTTTATGGATAGGTGTGTCGGCTGCACCCCAATTTTAAATTAAAAATCGTATCATGAAAAGACTAAGAGAAAAAATATTATAAATAAAACTTATTTCGAAAACTACAAGTATTTAAAATGACGTAATATTATCAATAATATAGTCACTATTATTTAAACCTCA